TTTGCCAGATATGAAAGTTTTCCTTCTTGTGGGGCATTTAGATACAAGCACATCGACATTCCCACATACTATCCCTTGGAAAACATCTCGACAACATCTTAAGCAGAGGTTGTAGGAGCAAATTTGGCAGCTTCTGTGGAAATCCACAATCGAAGCCTTGCACTTATTGCTGCATCATCATACATCAGAGAGTAAGAAAGTATGGAGAGAAACTCATGAAGGTGAAATTAGGAAATATAATGATCTGGAGAAGAATAAGAACAAACCACGAACGTTGGTTGCAGCTTACTTTAGCCAGCTCGATTTGAACCTCGGAAGGTTTTAGACCTGTTAGATGGCATGGGATTACTTACACTTTAGAATACCATTAAGACAGATCAATGTGAATTTTACCTTTCATTTTCGCCTCCGTGTCGATTTCAGAAACAAGATCTCGATTCATTTGTTTCAGCACTGGAAGAAGCATACAGATCATGTAATGGAAGTGCAAAACCTTATTCACCTGCCTTCCACCATTAGAATACTCCTGCAGCAAACATGGGGGACGGATGTAAGCATAGGGATTTTTCAATACTGAAACCAAGGAATATGAATCCATCATTCCTTCAAAGTTAACAATGACTAATAAAGATGCCAGACCTCACAGTCACTGTCCTTAAATCGGCCAGCCAAGCATGGTTTACACCCACAAGTCCCACGGCAAACTGGACAAGCATTCTGAACTTCTTCTTGCTCATCAAAGTACCTATAGTTATAACCTTTATGCTTCAGTTCCAACAATTAAGCAGTATCATCAGGAGAAACCATGAACGAATGTTTCCATTAGTTAAAACCGCTCATAACAGTCTGTTTTACATACCGATCTTTGATGCAATCCGTACAGAAGAACTCCTTACTACAACTGGAACATTGAATCAAAGTACTACTCAGCCCATTCTTCCTACACCAGTGGCACTTCTGCTTCTTCTTCCCTCTCCTCAATTCCACCATATCCTTAACCTTCACAAATAAACACAACCCACATTTCAATAAAACATAATCTAAGTAGAAAAGGCACGAACAATCATTCTGACTGCAATGTAGTTATTCCTTCAGAGTTCAGTTACCTGCAGGGCAGCTCCAATGGGCAATGGCTCGAGGTTCTTAGACCGAAACCGTATCCCAGAACTCGAATCCGATCCAATTTTAACGTCGCAGGAAGCTGCTGAAGCTGAACAAGAACCCACATTGTTGAAATGCTTAACTGGAGATATAGCCATGAACCCATTAGGCAAATCTCTCATCAACTCTGGCTCTTCATCTTCATCGTCTTCTTCCCCTTCTTCCCCACCGTTATTGTCACTACTACCACTCTTACTCTTAGAGTTGGGTTTCTTATTGCTGGTACTCTGCCCTTTCCGCTTCTCGACTTCTCTCTTCAGCACCATTCGAATCAGCTCAAATTGCAGCGTGTTCTTCTTGGCCTTAACCTTCTTCTTCATCTTCTTCTTCTTTATCTTCACTACCTCTTCAAACCCCTCCGATTTCTTCCTCTTCTGCCCCAATTTCGACAAAACGACGTCGGCCTCCTCCTTCTGTAACCTAACTCGAGCGCCATTGCTGATTTTGTTGCGGTTCTTGTACTCTCTCTGTATCTTGAGCGACTCGGGGACTTTCCACTTGTGCTGGCGATGCTTCCCTTGGAGGTGGTGAATTTCGCAGAGCTTCTTCCCCGGCAACACCTTCCGGCCGCACCGCCACCGCCGCCCGTCCGTCCGCTTGCACCGGAGATGGTCCGGCAGAGGCCCATTCTCCGCCATTCCCCGGCCAACGAATTAAAGAAGAATCCCCCCACGGATGAAAACCCCACACCGCAGCCCACTCTCTATCTGAAATTTACTCGGGAAAGTGACAGAAAAAGAGAGAAAAATCCCGTCTTTTTCTATTAAAAGGGGTGGAGACTGGAGAGGGAGAAGGAGAAGGGAAAAGCAAAGAGGGCTTTCGGTTTTAGGGGTCGAACATTTAATACCCAGTAAGCAGAAGACGAAGAAAGGGAAGAATGGCGAATGGCAGCGGGTGGTAATTTGGGAGAAAAACAGAGCCCTATCTGGGTCGCCCTGGAAAACCTTGGTTTAGTCTCTTTTCGATTTGCGAAATTAAAGATCGAATGATGGATTGGTGGGAGGAAAAGAGTGTGTCTAGTAAGCTCTGTTTGGCGTAGTGCAGACTGCAGAGTATCAGAAGCAAGTTGTTAAAGACTTCTTTTTTTCTTCCTTCCTTTTCTCCAATGTTTATCTAAGGAAGTGGAAGTTCCAAACACATTTATAGAAGTAAATCTCTGTAACTGTAATCCCACCACTTCTGCAGTACCCTGGCAGTCAAGCAGTTGGACAGGACAAGGTTAATACGAGGTCTAGATACGAGAAGCAGGGAGTGCTTCGCGTTCGTGTTTGGATTCGTTAGAAATGAACCATAGTTGGATCTCTACATTCGTAGAGAATGTTATTTAGTTTTGAAAAGCATCGATGTTTCTGATTCTATAATCTCGATGTTTGCCTTTCGGGCGGTGCGATGCTTTATAAGAAAAAATGCAGGGAATATGTGTTGGATGATCAAATCCAACGGCTGTGAGAGGGTATTACTGTGACTGTGAGAGGATTCTATATCTTTTCTCTGTTTGGTGGTCAAATTTCTTGGAGTTGCACAATTGGTTCAGTTGGTTACTTACTGTGCAAGGTGGATTTAATGCTTACGTTTATTCCTGGATTGGCCAATCTTTACTGCAAATTTACTGGGCAAACAGACACGTTTGTGGGTTTGTTTATTTGATTTTGATTGATTGATAATTTGATATTCAATCAATTTTGGGTTTGGCAGATTCTCCAAAAGCCCAACTCCTAGCTAATAGGCTTCTCTACGTTGGGCGGAAGTCCAGTTTCATTTACTCTTCTGCAAACTTAACTAATCCTGGTCCTGGCTGGGAAAGCAAACTAGAGAACAGCAACAGCAAAACATAGTTGAAAAAAGAGACTCAACCTTCAACTCTTTTACACCATCGTTTGACCATATTGGGAGGTTCTCTGCCTTAATTTTTGACCATTCAAATATTCCTCAAAATTACGATAATGCTCCGACCGAATATCAATCATCCAACGGCTGCCTATACTCTCCTTGCTTCATTGTCATTTTCTCGATTATCATAAATCACGATTCTTCTCGATGAAGGTTTTTGTAATTTCATAACATATTAGCTAACTTGGTAAACCATCCATAAGTAAATGAATTGTTAAATAAGTAATGAAATGCAACTGATTAAATTCTTTACCAAACCAGGGCACAAGATTAAATTCAGGTTGCATTGGCTAGACTTCTGGAATCATGCATTCAGTGCTGCATTGAGTTTGCAACTTCACCTGGCCCAATTTCCAGTTTGGGCCTGCCCAGTGTTTTATTTTTTTTATATACATTTTGGACTTCTTGGCAGGCATCTTGTATTAATACCGACTTGTTTCTCCATCAGGCCATAAAAGGCCCGGCCCAGTTCTCTCCACATTGGTATTAAATTATGCTCAATACCATATTTTGTCTCTCTAGTCTCTACTATACAACGGTGTTAGTGAACGTTGAGATATCTCGATTTGTATATTTATTTGTATTTAGTGTGATTCAAATTGAGTTATTATCACACAACATTTTGTGGTAGAAAAAAATTATGGAAGACACATCAGAAAATATTCTTGAAGTAAATAAAAAGGAAGAAAATAATATAATTGATGACCCCATATAATATTGACAAATTGGAGTCTATTCTGATTCATAGATAAGCAATTGTGTAAACGAGCCAAAGTAGCATAAAACGCGAATGTATATTATAAGAAAAATAAGATTGAACGGATTGAAAGAAACATACTCCACCTGTTCATTCATGAACCATGATGCATATGGAACGGTTAATTCTCATAGTCATAGATTATGAGTTAGACGAAATCAGATCAAACAAATTAGGTTACCGTGCACACCATAAAGTAGTTTATTCATTTCTTTGCCTAAATGATGCATACTAATCTCGCTACCTATATGTTTTTGTTAGGTCTAAGATCTCAATTAAGCTTGCTATGCTTAAAGTTTATAGTTTTGTAATGACGTGACCGCAACTCAAACAGAACATTTCCCATATGGAGCTTATAATTTATGGAATTCCATTTACACGCACAACTTGGATTAGAGGAAAGGCATAGTGTAACATGAAACGTTTAAGGTTCTTTTTTCTGCTGCATATGCTTTACCCAACTCTCCTGCCATCAAAACCTCTTCACAAGTTTCAGAATTTTAAGAGGATATATAATCTTAAAAACAATTTTTTACCTGATTTATACAAATTTACAAAACATTACGTACAAGATAACTACTAATTATGTAATTAATATACGCAAAAATATTTACAATTTTGACATACTAGTTACAATTCAATGTAATCACTAACTGATGAATGTCCCTATCTCTTCCGGTTCCGAATGATGATCTTCCCCACGGTATCATCCTCTTGCACAATCAGCAGCAGAACATCATCGTCTGTCGGCACGTGCCGTCCAACCCTCGGTCACTCCAGTCGACGTCCCATTTGGGCACACTTATCTGCGACCTTGTTTTCTTCCTGATACACGTGACCTACTTTACAGTTGACCATTAAGTTGTTCGTGTTGAAACATGATTCTGCCATTGTCATGGTTTTACTACTAAACAATGACTTTGTTACCACTTAACTGGTGTTTATAGAAATATAAACTTCTATATATAATCATGTTAATCATCTACGTTATTAGTTTATCATTCTAAAGGTCATGTAAACAAATCTTTGTAGCTTTGGAGTTTGATGGAAAAGAAAATACTAATCATATATAGTTTATCACTTTATAGAGAAACCAATGTATAGTATGTACTGATCAAACATATACATCACAATTCAGTAATTCACAATTAAATCCGAACTCAGATGAGTGCCAATGATGATGAACATGAACTTAAGCGCGAGAAGAGCCCCAAACAGGAACGCCGGTGACCACTCCTCCGCCGCCACCGTAATTACTCCGGCCACCCACCATCGGCACTCCCCACGACGGAGGCGTGGAAGAACCGCCGCATTCCGCCCCCACCACCTTCTTCCCCGCTGCCGGCGAACAACCATAAATACTTCCCCCGCCGCCGCCGCCCCTAACCCTAACCGAGAAATTGATGATTCCATTCTTAACCCCTCGCGGGTCCCGCAGCCTGTAGCTCAAAAAATGCAAGTAATCCTCCGGCGTCGGGCCGTCCCCCAAGAAATCGGAAACCGGCACGACCGCCGCTCCGACCACTCTGTTTCCAGATCGGACTTCCAATGTCACCGAATCAGTCAGCATCGGCATCTCGATCACAACCTTCTCGTTCCACTGAGGGTAGCTCCCGCCGTCGGAATCCGCCCTGGTCGACCCGGAATTGATGAACGGGTCGATTCTCCTCACGACGACGAACGCTTTCTTCTTCACCGGCCTTCCGTCGAGGCGGAGGTCCTCTGCTGAGAGGACTGTGAATTCGAGAGTCCGGGTTCCGGCGGCCGCCATTGAGAGAGCGCCTTCAGGGGGAATGCTGATTGAACTACGAAGGGAATTGTACTAATTCCAATTGAATGATGGGATGATCAGGTTTTGGGATTGGTGAATTTATAAAACAGAGTGTGGGTTGGAGCTGGACGCGGGAATCCGAAGGAGGGTCGGAAAGTCCCCGGTAGGTAATGTGTGAGTTAGTTGTTTGGTTACAGTTAATTAGCAAAGAAAATGTTGATCTGGGTTGTACTTTTCCAAGAAAAGAGAAGAAGAGGGTAGGCTACTTCCAGGAACTCTAGCTTTTAGATGCACCTGTAAAAGAATTGAAGGATTGGAATGATTTGTAAAGGAGGTGTTTCATACTAATGTATTAGTTGTTTTGTATCCACTGTTGTTAATTCCAGCCTGTGATGTCAAGGCGCCACCAACAGAGCCTCTTGCTAGTTCCAGCGAGGGAAGTCAAGGTAATAGGTAATCACCATTTTCATAATAGTATTAAATAAGTATACGTCAATATCATAACAAATGGTTTCGTGGTGTAGTTGGTTATCACGTCAGTCTAACACACTGAAGGTCTCCGGTTCGAACCCGGGCGAAGCCATTTGTTTTTTTCCTTCTTTTTTTATTTTGTTTATGCAAAAAGAAAAGTTGCACTGAGATGCTCATGTTCTTCCTTCCAGTGTTGATATCTTAAAGAGTTCAACCCCACTGAGAACAGTTTCCAACAGATAGAATGAAGCGTGATATGTTGATTCTTATTGCACGGATCATACATATATATATGTGTAATAGGCTGCAACTTTCTGCTAAAATCTTTGGATAGTGATTGAACTGAGCAGTCTCTTTCTATCTCTACAGAATGAATCGACCAATGGTAAAACATTTACACCAAGGCTATGCAGTGAAATCAAAACTCTGATGAGAGTCAGGGCTAAAGATAAAACGGCTGGGATTCTTCAGAAGGCGTTCTTCTTCCCAATTAGCCACATCCAATCGAGGGTCACGCCAGCGAAAATGCCAGCCAGCAAGAACAACACGAGCAAATTCCCCAATGCATTCTGCTCCGGACCCTGCAGCAACCCAAGCAAAAATTAGTTCAGGATTTAGAATTTCTGTAATCCCTTGAAGCTAAGTTTAGGGAGAAAGGAAAGGACTACTAACCTTGTAGCCCTTTGGAGCTACAGTCATGACACAAACGGTCAAGTAGCCATTGGTGAGCCCTAGAAACGAAGTGAGGAAGATCATCCACCCTTGACCACCATACTTGGCAGTGAAGTAGAATGCCGGAATGAGCAGGAACCGAGACAGGATTGCGATCATCAGCCACTTTCGGGAGGTCAGCTTGATGCACTTGATCAGTGGTACGTATCTCCCCACCAAATCCAAAGCATTGTACATTGCAATCAACACAAGTATGTACCTGGCAGGAGAAAAAAACAATGGACCAAACACTTCCTTATGAGACAAGGATTTTACAGTAGTAGGCATGAAAGGGTAATTCTTGAGCAAAATGGGTTCTTACCATGAACCCAATTGGTGGGTGCCTGTGTCCTCAGAGATGAACCCCGGGAAGATTGACAAAGTGAGGACATAGATGAAGAACAAGTCCAAAGCATAGTCTATGTTCTGGCGCAGCAACTGCACGTTGCTCAGTCGCTCCATCGGTTTGCTGTCCTCTCCCTAATAGGATCGAACACGACATGTCAGGTTCATATGAACTAAAACTAAAAAGAAGAGGAAGATCCTGGTGAAATTGTGTTGACTTTACCTGTTCTGAAGGAGTATGAATGCCAGCAGCTTTAAGGTCGGCTGAAACAGTCTTCGATCCTTCTTTAGCTGCCTTGGCGCGGTAGTACTTCACTATCGGCAGCTTTGGCACGTAGAATGCATAGAGCAGGAAGCAGAGGAACTCCGCGAATGTGGCTATAGCAAGAAACAACTCTGCAATTGGAAGAAAAGAGTGAGCAAAAACCAGTTCAAGTCTGAGAATTGGACCGTTGACCAAAATGGGAAATGAGAAGTTAAGTGGCTTACGAACTCCCTTGCGAAGTCCATTGTCGGCATTTTCAAATGCTGCTTTGGTGATCAACCTTAAGCCTGAAGTCATGGCTCCTGATGCAGCCAAACCAGCAAAGAAGGACTGCAGCAATGGCAGATCCAACCGTTTCAGAAACACACCAGCAGGCAACAATACAAACCAAAGATGCAAACTTTTCTTGAGCTGAAGTAAAGGGAGAGGGAGATTGCTAACTAACCTGCATGAATTCAGGGCACATGAATGACAAATCTCCCACCATTCCACCTTGAACGTGAGCATCTGCAACCCCAAACAATCCAACAATCAAGCAAATGCCAACGAACGGCCCGACTCCTCCCTTCCCCGATGTCGCGAAATCCAGCTGGGTTTACAACAAAGTCAACGCTTTTAGTTTCAGTGTGTCAAAGAAACTCCAACATTAGCAAGTGTTTTCTGGTGATCATCACACTTACAACAAGTAGCATGAGAGTGCTGACGAAGAATAGTAGGTATCCAGCTATATTCCTTGTCCTGGTGTTGATCCTCGACTCATTGTAGGCCAGGATCGCCATGGTTCCCAAGGCGAAGGGTTGGTAGACGAGTGTGAGAACCCTTGAAGGATGGTATTTCTACGAACACATGGTAGGCATTCCAAACCAAAGTCAGGGGAAACACAAAACGAATTTTTTTCAGGGGAAATGAGGGCCGAGGTTCTTATTTTACCGGGAACAAATTGAAGTAGTAATCCCCAATTGTAAGCATACTGTTCCATGAAACCAGTGACCCGAATCCAAGGACCCAACAAACCACCAAAGCTTTGAACCTCCCCTGAAGAAACACCAAAATAGAAAGAATTCCCCTGTTCAAAATTTACAGACCCTTTTGAGCTGAAGAAGAGAGGGGGAAAAAAACAGGGTAGAAACAAACCTCGAGTCTGGCTGGCTCTCTTTCGTCTCCACCTCCATTGGTAACACCGACCTCTATCTCCTCCTGCACAAAAATTAAAAAAAAAATCACCAACCTGATATAGAAACAAAAATCCCAGAAAACTGAAACGAGTACAGAGCTCAAAAGACAGGGGAAAAGGAAGAAGAAGAGAAAAAGCTCATTACTTGCACCATGTTTTGAGCTTCAATCAGTTGCCAAGTTTCAGAATAGACAAAACCCTTGTCAAAGGTGCAGACTTTATGGGAGTGAAATGGCGGAAGAGTCTCTTCTCACTCTTGTAGGCCGACTAACAGTGTGAAAGCAGAGAGATAAGAGAAGGAAGGGGCGCAAGCAAGATGAGATAGGCGAATCGGCTAGGTCAGAGATTGTGGGGGGAACTAATTGATTAATAATGGGGGGAGATAAAAGGGAAGGTTAGCGTTGACGTTATTTGCTCGGCGCCAAAGACGGAGTTGAATCCAAAGATTACTGGAAAAGAGGCGATTTGGGAGGAAAAGGGGAGAAGAATCAAGGGAGGATCTTTGATGCAGTTAGGAATCTGTGGCCAGAGAGACAGGAGGGGACATTTATATCTCTGGATTCCAAGAACCTACCAAATCATTCTTCAGCGGTGAATTTTATGTTTTACTTGAGGGAGGGGTTAATGTAGTTGTAGACTTGTAGTTTTTTTTTTACAATAATGTAGTTGTAGTTGCAGTTGCTGCTACTACTCTGTTTTTTTCATTAATTTTTATTATTATAAAGGTGGGTTTATTTCATCGACATTTTAAGTTTAGAAGAGTTAGATAATTAAGTTTGGGATGTTGATGATTTTGCAAATAAATGCCATATTTTTTATTCATGTATATAGTTATTTATAATTATGTAACGCTTTGATATATGATTATTGTAATATGAGTATACGACGATAATCTCCGAATCTCATTTTATTATATAACACCTAATTGAAAAAGTTGTCTTTTTAAGTGCCACCAACCAAATAAACCTAATGAAAGGACAATAATTATTTTCATAATTAGAACTTGCGTGTAGGTGTAATTGCTCAATAAAACAAAACAAGAGGGGGATTAAGAGTTGTATCTTTAAAAGTACGTCATGAATGATATATTCATATTTTATAAATGCATTAAAAGAAAGAGTGAGTTGAGTCAACCGATTGTAGTGTGTACACGTGAAAAATCACGACGGGCCAGCCTGTCAAATACCTGAAAAAACAAATGTATCTTTTATTGTTTCCTTCGTTATTTCCCACCTTATAAAAAAACAATTGAGTGATCGTTTATTCAATAGGTTAGTGTCCACTGTCCAACTCAAGGTTGGCTAATAATATGGATTACAAATTGCTCCATAATCGACCATATTTAGAAAACAATAATAAAACAATAATGGTAAACATAGGGAGGGTACGATCATTTGAGGTTGGGGATGCTAGTAACAAGACTCCAAATGTGGAGGAAAAAAAAAAAAAACAGAAATAGGGACAAGTGACAAACTTTTGAAAGATTTGATGAATTCTATGAACACCTCAATTATTTTACGAGAAGATATATTATAATTTCACAGTTCACTTTTCGATCTCGTAGTTTCGGACATTTCTTATTTGTTGATTTTTGTGTTGAACATGAAGGTTGTTTTATGTATACAACCTTTTTGTGTTGAGCAAGTGACAAACTTTTGAAAGATTTGATGAATTCTATGAACACCTCAATTATTTTGTGAGAAGATATATTATAATTTCACAGTTCACTTTTCGATCTCGTAGTTTCGGACATTTCTTATTTGTTGATTTTTGTGTTGAACATGAAGGTTGTATACATAAAACAATTTCGATTGAGTGAATTTCAATTGTTTATCCTCATGCTCAAGTGAATCATTTACCAAGCATATGGTCTTTTAAATATGTTCGCTAATTTGGCTCTCAACAAGAGCACATTCATGCTATGCACTTAAAATGACGTCGTGAGAATTTGCTAATTAGAAACGGTATAATATTAACACATCGGTTCGCCTATGATCATTGTGCAAAACGTGTTTATTTTCCTTTGTCTTAGTT